GGTTTATAATCCTGGTCGTTGAGGATCATCGTCCTGCAGGTTTTAGTCTTCTCTGTTCTTCAGCAGGTTCAACTCTGCAGCAACCTGTCAATCATTCTTTTAAACCAGGTGTGTTAAAACAGGAACACCTCAGGATGTGTGTAACTGATCAGACCTCATTCCTCAGACGTTTCTGTGTAAAACATTAAATCACAAACAGTATCTGTTGGACTGAAAACTATTTTATTAGACTGATTTATTTATTTAATTAATATTTTGTTAAAAATATATTGAAGGTCCGTCTGAACAGGAACCAAAGACCTGGACTCTGGTCCCTCTGGACAGGAACCAAAGACCCTTCTGTTCATGGTGGTGATGATGCTGACTGTTCTGGTTCTGGTTCTGTCTCCAGGCGGACCTATGTTGGCAGCATGCCCGGTCGGATCATCAACGGTCTGAAGACGGTGGGGGTCCGTAACCCGGTCTTCCTGCTGGACGAGGTGGACAAGCTGGGGAAGAGTCTTCAGGGTGACCCTGCAGCCGCTCTGCTGGAGGTCAGAGGTCACGGCTCGTTTGGATCCTGGAAACCCAGACCTGTTCCAGACTTCTGTGTCCACTGAAAGAGGTGTCCTCTAAAACCTGCAGGTCCTGGACCCGGAGCAGAACCACAGCTTCACAGACCACTACCTGAACGTGGCCTTTGACCTGTCCCAGGTGCTCTTCATCGCCACAGCAAACACCACAGCCACCATACCCCCGGCTCTGCTGGACCGCATGGAGGTGCTGCAGGTTCCAGGTGAGGCTCAGCAGGTCTGGACCTGTCCAGGTCAGGGTCCAGGTCAGGGTCCAGGTCAGAGTCCAGGTCAGAGTCTGGATTATTTTCAGGGTACACGCAGGAGGAGAAGGTGGAGATCGCTCACCGTCACCTGATCCCCAACCAGCTGGACCAGCACGGTCTGACCCTGCAGCAGCTGCTCATCCCTCAGGACTCCACCAAGGACATCATCAGCAGGTAGGAGGACTTCCTGTCCCCCTGAGCTGTGGGCGGGCCTAGAGGGACGTCCCCTCCTGAGATGATTGACAGCAGTGTTTCAGGTACACTCGGGAGGCGGGCGTGCGCTCGCTGGAGAGGAAGATCGGAGCGATCTGTCGAGCCGTGGCCGTGAGGGTCGCTGAAGGTCAGGGGGTGGAGCCTGTGAGAGGGGAGGCGTGTCCTGCGCAGGAAGGTGAGCATGATGTTGGGTTTGTTGTAGGAACGTCAGGTCGATGGTTTTTCTGACGCAGTCGTCTGTCTCTCAGATAAGGCGGCGCCGCCTGAACTTCCTGTCGTCGTGGATCACGTCGCCCTGAAAGACATCCTGGGACCGCCCCCTTTTGAAATGGAGGTAAGCAGGATGTCCAACAGGGTTCTGATGGACCCTGAAGAACTGCAGTCTTCATCTGATGGTGGTGTTTCATGCCTGCAGGTGTCAGAGAGGCTCACTCTGCCAGGTGTGGCTCTGGGTCTGGCCTGGACCCCTCTCGGGGGGGAGATCATGTTTGTTGAGGCCAGTCGTACGGAGGGGGAGGGTCAGCTGACTCTGACAGGTCAGCTGGGTGATGTCATGAAGGAGTCAGCTCACCTGGCCATCAGCTGGCTGCGAGCCAACGCCAAGACCTACGACCTGACCAATGGTGAGTCCTGCTGACCACACCCCCAGAGGCCACACCCCCAGAGGCCACACCCCCAGAGACCACACCCCCAATGAGACCACAGCTTACTGATGTTTGTGTTTGAACAGTGATGGGCGGTTCTGATCCGCTGGACGGGACGGACATCCACCTCCACTTCCCCGCCGGCGCCGTCACCAAGGACGGCCCCTCTGCGGGGGTTACCATAGTAACGTGCCTGGCCTCTCTGTTCAGTGGTCGCTTGGTCCGATCAGACGTGGCCATGACAGGAGAGATCACGCTGAGAGGCCTGGTTCTGCCGGTGAGTTCTGCTCAGGTCCTGGTGGGCGGGGCCAGGAAACTGTTTGCTGATTGGTTCACCTCCTTCAACAGGTGGGCGGGATCAAAGACAAGGTTCTGGCAGCCCATCGAGCCGGAGTTAAACGGGTCATCTTACCCAAACGCAACGAGAAGGACCTGGAGGAGCTGCCTGCTGACGTCAGAGCCCACCTGGACCTGGTTCTGACCAGAACCCTGGAGGAGGTCCTGAACGCCTCGTTTGACGGGGGCTTTCCAGGGACCAGGGGGAGGACAGCGGACCCCCAGCTCAGCAGCAAACTGTGACCGAGCATCAGCAGATCTCTTCATGACCCGGTTCTGATCCGGCTGCCTGACCTTTAGTTTTAGTCTTTAATCTGCTCGACTGATTCCTGAAAGTTCACCTGACCTGGTTTAACCTCCTGTAGGACCCATCGTTATCAGATAATTAATGATCAGTTACAGATAACTAATGATCAGTTACAGGATTTAACTGTTAATAACAACTGATTATTAATAACTGATTGTTAACAGTTTATCAGTTGTTATTAATCAGTTTATTAATCAGTTATTAATAAGTTTATTTATTAATAATAAACTGATTATTAACAGATTATTATTAATCAGTTTATTACTCAGTTGTGTTAACAGTCAATTGTAATTAATAATCAGTTTGTTAATAATCTGTTAATAATCAGTTAATAACAACCAGTTGTATTAACTGTAATCAGTTGTAACGATGAACATGAAGGATATCAGTGATGTCATCACGTCTTTGTTCTCATTTTATTCTGATAAAGTGAATAAAGTAAAGTTTTATAACTCAGCAGTTGAACAGATCCATAAAATAACTAAAGGTTTAAATTTAAACGACAGGAAGTTAAACTGGTAGTAACCTGCTGACAGGATGTTTACTGTGGTGGGATGGAACTAAGTACAACTACTTTGTTGCTGTACTTAAAGTACATTTTTCATGTATCTGTACTTTAAGTAGATTTCATCATGGGTACTTTTGACTTTTAATACACATTTCTGTAATGTGTTAAATTATAAATTAGTGACATTATGGGCTGTTTGTTGGTTTAAAAGATGTCAGTGGTGAACGGTAACTGATCCATTGAACCAAAGCAGATTCTTCATCACCTGCTGGATCATCATCATCATCATCATCATCATCATCAGGCCCACGGGGGACTCGTCCACACAGGACATGAAAAAGTGAACTGGTTCAGAACGACTTGTTGAGCTTTGATAAAGACGTTTGTGGTGAATTTACAACTTGTGTAGTTGTTGTCACAACCTGTGATGAGCAGAGGGTAAACACACAAACATGAAGTATCTTTGTTCACTGAAATGACATCATTGTATTAAAATACACAGGAGGCACGCTGCATACTGTAGAGCAGTGGTGAATACATCAAGTACTTTACTTTTAAGTATTTTTAAAAGCAAGTACTTACAAGTAAAAAATGTTAAGCTTTACTTTTACTAGAGTACATTCTTCTGTTTATCTGTACTTTTAATGAAGTACAGTGTTACAGTACTTTCTCCACCACTGAGTATTTATACAGCCTGTCTTTAACGATTCTCTGGAATTAAACAGTATCTTACCTGCTGCAGATGACCTTTTGAATGACAGTTTAGTGAAACAGGTTTGTAGTGGAAACAGCAGGGGTCAAAGGTCACTGAGGCAGATCTGAACTAAAACCCAGAACAGAAGAGTCCAGGAGGACCACCCCCTGCTGGTCCTGGACTCCAACAGGCCAAGAAGTGAGAAAAGGCAGCAGCAGGTATGAAAAAGATAGATTTATTGCATGACAAATTAAAACAGAAAGACCTGGTGGAGTTTGAGGGAAAGCAGCAACATCACTGACTCCACCTGCAGAGGGACAAATGACCTTTGACCTCCAGACGAAGAAGAAGAAGAACAAAGGCTTCACAGAAGGACCAAGATGAAAACAACCCAGCTCTGGAGGAGAAGGACCTTCTGAACGACAACTTGGCTTTTTAGCTTTTTAACTACAAACACTGAAGTTTAGCCACAAGTTCAACAACTTTCATCGTTTTTAAAATTCAATACAAAAAACTCTCCTCTATTTATCACTAATCTGAAGGTTTAAACCGTAGAAACTGTTTGGTTCCAGGTTGGGTCAGAGGTGACGACGGGCCGATGGACGAGAACCATCAGGACAGACAAACGAGGACTTCGGCTCCTTTAAGACAAACAAACCAAAGTCAACGGTTAAAAAGAAAAACTAGTCAAATAAAAAGTGAAATGTAGTGTTTGATCCTCTTCTTCTGATGAAGCTCTTCCTCTTGTTCTGAAACAGAACATCACACGGGACTAACTAAACCATGACGTAGTGTGGACACGTAGAAGGACTCAGTCCTGGTCCAGGTCTGGAGCCAGCTACCAGGCCAGTTTCTGAGACCTGACCAGGAGTCCGTGTCGAGGGTCCTCAGAGACACGAAGACCACTGAGGACAAACAAAAACAACCGCAGAGGAAACTGAAAACTCCAAGAAGACCTCCTCCTCGCTCCGAGTCCAGTTTCTGAGACATGCACGAGTCTCACACACCTGTTTGTTAAAAGTCATCACTACACAGGTATGTCCGTCACTCATCCATCATCACCCCGTCACAGTCCAGTTCCTGGTGTCGGGGGCTCAGCGGGGTCTCTCCTGTCCTCAGCACATGGAGATGGTGACGTTGATGCCCAGGTTGCCGTTCTCGGCGAACAGCTGTGCGATGGACGTGTCGAACACCAGGCAGTCGCTGTTCATGATGGCCGTGGCGATGCCCTCGTGGATGGAGCGGGGCGTGGCCTCCCAGGTGAGGCGGCGCCGGTGGCCGTTCAGCTCCAGCCGGTAGGCGAAGTTCTCGGCCTGCTTCCTGGTGCCGATGAGCTGCACGATGGCGAAGAACTGCTGGTGTCCGTCGTACTTCTCCTGCTTCTCCAGGACCAGCATGAAGTGGAAGCCGAAGCAGGACTGCATCATGACCCAGTCCACGGCGCCGGGCAGGTTGATGTCTGTGGCCAGGAACACGATGTCCTCGCCCTGCGGACACAGAGGGTTCAGTTCTGAGCCACAGCTGCTCAGGTGACCTGAGAGACCACCCAGCCTCACTTTAAACAATACCAACCATGCTAACACCTGTAACATGTTAGCACCATGCTAACACCTGTAACATGTTAGCACCATGCTAACAGTTGTAGCATGTTAGCCCCGAGCTACAGGTGTTAGC